TTTTCATATTCCACTATTATTTTCATACTTCACTATACTTTCCACACTTCATTATAATTTTCATATTTCAATATTATTTTTGTATTTCGCTATAAACCTCGCGTGTTACTGTTATTTTCATATATCACTATAATTTTAATGTTACGCCACAATATTCATCGTTACTTCCATATTTCATGAAATCAAACATATCGATGCACACGTAAATATTCGCGAATACTTAACGCTATAAATACGCAGAACGTAATACACAAAAATACAAGACTGAATTTTAAGCGGAGGTGGCAAATTCGCTTTCGTACGCAGTAAATCCCCATAAATCACGACCATAGACTACTAGCCGCCTCTATTAACACAGCGACAGTTTACCGTTTGACCGTCTCAAGGAGCTGGCCAGGTGCATCCTGAGGGCGCAGATGCACCGGGAGGATAGTTTGAGCTGCGTCACCGGTCTAAGGGCGTTGCTGAATGCCGGGTCAACTTGTGAGCAATTATCCGAGGTCGTCCAGCACCGGGAAGCTGATACGGTGTGCGCGCAGGGAAAGATAGCAGGTATTCCTTATTCCTCCCACGAGATCGTTCCCAAATTAATGCGTAGCTCGTGGCTAGAATGGCTACGCTCCCGTTCGGAGGGTGGCCGAAGGGATGAATCACTGGCGGCGCACAACGGATGGAACAATCTCGACGTTCGAGAACCAATTATCGAGGCGGTTCCTCCGCTCCTTATCAACTACTTTCGTTAAACTCGAATTAAGATCCCCGGCTACCGGATCTCAGCCCTCGACTTTCTCCCTTCTCTCGTTCCTGGGTCAGGGTTCACGGTTTTGCGAGACTAAAATTTTGTAAATTGCTGAAATGGTAAATTTTCTAAATAAACCGTTTGTTTTAAGGCACGAATAAATAAAAGTATACTCGGTAAACTTAAAAAATTACTGTTGGTCTTATGATGATGAAACTAGATAACGTTAATCCGTTAGCTAGTATTGTTGGTAGTAAATATTTATTTATTGGTGGTGATAATATAATATGTAATAAGAATTAAATTAATAATGATATAATCCTAGAAAGGAAACGTTTTTTATACATTTACTTCGATTTAATGGAATTGTCCAAGTTGGACCGTTTCATTATTGATGTGCTGAATAAGAACAATTGATATTGAGTTTTTATTTACCGTTTTTATGTCAATAATAACGGTTTAGTGCTTATGGGTTAACTATAAATATTTAATCAACAGACTTTAACGTCATCCGTCGTACACGTAATACATAATAATAACATATTATGTATATGTTAGAAAATATATATGTATAGAAAATTTCCAATATGAAAAAAACTATATTATTATAACTATATATATTATGTGTAGTTATACAACAAATATTCTTCGTGATCCTGGTACTGCTTAAAAGTATCGACAATACACATATTTATAGCATTTTTACGTAAACTATTTTTTAAAATACTTAAATACGTGACTTAAGTTTTCTATTTCCCAAGCAAAAAGCTAACATGTTCGGCACTTGTCATCATACTTTCCCTAGATTCTTGGGATAAGAAATATATCATCACAATGATGAAATAAGTTTTCTTGACTCTCAAAACATTACTATAACTTGAAACTTAAAAGAAACTTCAAAATACGTTTCGTATTTATGCGATTATACGCGTCCACAAATCAATTTATCCGAATCGAGAGAAAATAAAAATGTTTGCTCATTAAAGCTTGAATCCGAGTCCCAATAAAACCATCACAAAGATTCCGACATTTAGTTAGTCTGCCCCACAATAAAAATTGATACAACCAAAAAGTATAAAATCTTAGAAAAGGTCCGGCGAAGGCCGATAAGCGTTCGTCCGGACGCGTTTAACTCCATCGCGAACGGATACGAAATTCGCGTATACGGTTAAGCAGATTAAAAATTAATTCCTCGATTACACAGAACGTTTCATTTCGCGAGTCAAGGCTAATTTCGTTGGCGACACAGAAGCGGACACACCGCGGGAAAGGGGGGGAGAGGTTCGAATAAAAAATTTCGTCGGCGCGTCCATGTTTTATTGCCGTGTGCAATAAACATGCACGGTATGCAGGTATAATCAATGGAGCACGTGGGGTGAGGGGGGATGTAACGTAACGCGGGGGCGAGTTCACGCGCAATTGAATCGTTGAACGAGCACCGGCCCGTCGACCCGGCTAAATTGAATATTACAGGGAATTACAAAAGGCGGACATGTTCAAAGAACGGGTTGCGCAGTATCGCGGCATAAATTTGTTTAAATTGCCGGCGCGCGCGCGCGCCAGAGTATAATTTTTTACGGGTGCCACCACTTTGCCGGCTCAAAGTCGCGTCCACACCTACCCCTTTTCCCTAACACCCTTTACCCCGCAGCTGGCAATTTGCATCCGCGGGAATTATCGCGAGAAGTTCCTCGGAGTGTGCTGCGCCGCCATTTTTTATTTCCCGTAATTTTCCGGCGATAACGGGCCGAGTGTTGCTCTAAGTGCCTGTCCCCCCCGGTCGGAACGTTCTCGTGCGGTTTTCCCCGGTTATGTCGGACACCGAGAAATAGCCGCGCCAAAATTTTCCGGAATTATTTGGGCCCGCGAAATTGCCGGGAGAAGTTAGGCATTTCTTTATCGGAATTTGAAATATCTTGTTTAAATTCGGGTCACGAGTTTATGCTGCTGGTTTTAACACTGGAACTAACAAGCCGGTCGAAATGACTGGTTTTTGATTTTATTATTTAGAATTTATGGTGCTTTAAGAATATTTCTTTGATCAACTTTTTTATTCGAGCGTGTACAATGTAATTGAAACCGTAGGAAGCTTGAATAAATGCGATCCTGTCGACATAAAACAATGTACAGTAATTCCCTAATTCGCATTCAGATTATGCACAAAAATGGACGATTTGGGAGATACGATTATTATTATACGATTAATATTATTATTTTGGGGATACGATTATTTGAGCCTTGCGGCTCGTTTTTATAGTTACCGATTGTCAACAACAAGTATAAAAAAGAGACGCAAGGCTCGTCTCCTCTTCCCAAATCTTTCATTTTTGCGCGTAATCTGAGCACGAATTAGGGAGAGATCACTCTACATTAATTACCTTCAGGGTTTGGTAATCCTAGTATTAAACAGGATATATTGTGATTAATTTTATCTTGTTTGGTCGATTTATAAAGCTGAGCAAATTCTTAAGCAGCATTATAGGCAAGTTTCCTAAGTTCATTAAAACATTGAAATATTTCAGGAGGTCTTGAGAGTTCATCTTACACAGTTTAGCGAACACCATCGAACTCGGTTTAATCATGTTTGATGCCTTGCAACAGTTAGAAATGTTACAATTTCATCGGAAGATTAAAACAATTCATTCAACTTCGAGGAAAGTGTTGACGATAGAGTTTAACCAGTATTTTTATGTTTGACGAATTCGTGAAGGTGAACTTTTCGGTCGCATCGAGTATTTCAAATAATTGCAATTTTTTCACTGCTCATTTATAAATCTCCTCATTATTTCGCTTGTATAAAACTCATTACCAATTTGTATTTCACTTAAACAGTCTGATTCTAGTTAAAAATCTTGACTCTACTTAAAGATTTTGATTCTACTGAAAGGTTTCGATCTCGCTTTAAATTGAGAGAGAATTAATTTCGGAATCTTAATGTTAAAAAATAATTAGAATAGAGGGGTACTTAAATTTCAAAGTAGCTCTGAACAAAAAATGGCACATCCCGTACACGGAGTTGTCCATTAAAAAATGAAACAAGATTGGAACCGGCGGAGTGCATCATAATACTTTCTGCGCCAGGATTATCCTCTTCAAAGCGTTTCAAAGTGATGCAATTGCAGATGGAACTAAATACTTTTCCGAGTGTTTTCAATGACCCAAAAACCGTCTGAGTAAAAATTAATCCGAGTATAATCTGAATTTATAAATGCCACGTTTAAATCGTAGGCCAATTTTCAAATCAGAGATATTGTGACAATGACTGTTAATGCAAAATTCGAATTTAGCCTGATTTTATAAATGCAACATTTAATGCACCTTATTTCACATCAAATTTAGAATGATAGAAGACATAGTAATTTGCATTATTGATTCGTAGAACAAATTGGAAAACATTGTAGTAGGTTAGTGCATATTTTGATGCGAATAAAACCTAATGCA